GATCAATAGCGAAAACTTATGTAAATTGTATGCAGACGATACTAAAATCCTGAGTGTCGTCAAAACCACTGAAGACAAAGCTCGTCTGCAGTCCGATATAGATTTCGTTGTTACCTGGACTCAAACCTGGTTAATGGAACTCAACATCAAGAAATGCAAAGTCATGCATTTCAGTAAGTACAATGTTTCCCCACACATTTATTTAATGAACGAGTACGACGCTAACGGTAGCGTCACTAGAACAGTAATCGAGTCTTCAACATCAGAAAAAGATCTAGGCGTTCAAATTTCCAACGACTTAAAATACGAGAGGCAAGCACAAATAGCCGCTGCCAAGGCTAATAAAGTCCTCGGGACATTGAAAAACACGTTTATAAGCAGAGATACCAAAATATGGGAAAAACTTTACACCACTTATATACGCCCACAGTTTGTGGGCGAGTTTGTAGCTACTGCCTGGTGCCCGCATCTTGAAAAAGACATAAATGTCATAGAACGTGTTCAGCATCGGGTTACTAAAGTACCGCACGAAATAAAGCGCTTCGATTACGAGGCAAGATGCATCAAACTCGATCTCACCTCTCTATTAAATAGACGTTTACGCGGCGACCTCATTCAAAAATATAAATTCAAAAACAGTATCGACTCAATTAGCTGGCATATAGATCCACCTAACATCCCACCTAGCTACGGTCATCGCAAGCGTTTTCATCGTGAAATGGACAACAACTGCCTCGTTCGCTATAATTCCTTTAACAACCGCGTCGCTCACCCATGGAACGCATTACCTAACGTAGTAGTCAGTGCTACAAGTGTCGATCGCTTCAAAGCAAAATTCGATCAGCTTTAATAATTACTACAGCGCATCATCTTCCGTGCAATTTCGCACGAGCTAGCACGGCTAGCTGTTGATGGGCTTACGAAACACGCCCGCTCCGTGTAATTTAACTTTAACTTTAACTTATGTCAAATATATTTATAATTTCATCTCTGTGCTTATCTTAGGCCGGGAAATTAAAAATAAGCAATTGCTTTTACTTAGAAATTGGTCAGCTTTACGCAAATAAAAATCTTAAGAAATATAATTAAATTATTCACGTAAAGCTGACCAATTACTGAGTAAAAGCAGTTACTCGTTTTATTCACCCGGCCTCTTGCGTGTTTAGAAAATTAATTATTAGAAGTTCTTTTTTTAGCAGGTATTTCATTTTAAATTTTTTGAGCAAAAACATAATATTAAATGTTTTTTTTTCAAAATAAGATTTAAGTTTGTTATAATAAATTACTACAATTAAAGTTTCCAATAAAATATTTCCATATTCAACATACATAGTCAACATTTGTACGCAATACTTAGTCAACTTTTGTACGCTAATATTGTATGGGCCAGCACACATAAAACAAAACTGCTAAAATTGCAAAGCCTGCAAAACCATGCATGCAAAGTAATAAACCATTTAAATAGGTTAGTAAACCCGGCCCCAGTGATGAAAAGCATGATGGTTCTAGATATTGAGAAGCTTAGCACATTACAGATATTAATTTTTATGTATAAGTATAAGAACAACCTCGTACCAAGCGTTTTTTCAGATACTTTCTTGATACCGTTTTCTGAAAAATATAATTTGCGTTCAAATACCAGGTACAACTATCACTTAGGGAAAATTAATTCACATCAGTCAAATTTTTTAATTACAAACCGTGGCCCATGAACATGGAATCATTTCCAAAATAAAAATATTAAAGACCTAAAAAGCATTTCATCGTTTTCTTGACATTATATATTTTATTAATTTACAGTATTTGTTTTTATTTTCCGTCTTCTTCTTGTTTTTCTTGTTTTTAGTATTTTTTGTTTTTGAATTTGCTACACTAAAAATATGAGCTTTGTTTTCATTGAATTTATATTTTATTTTTAAAAATTAAATTGTCTTTATAATGAGTGACTATAGGGGCTCTATGAAAAGGTTGTGATGATAAACACATCATCCTTACCTTCTTTGAGTCCCTGACTAATTAGAACAGAATATACATAATATAAAATAAAAAATTATGAAAAAACGTTTTTTATCATGTTTATCTTTACGACGTGTATTTTATGTATTTTTTACATGATTATATGAAAATTGTTATTGTAACTGTTTAATCAGCAAAATAAAAGTATATATAATAATATTATAATAAAAGTATATATATAATAATATTCTCGACTTCGCGCGTAAGCGCTATATCCGTATAATATAAATTTAATAGTATTAGGATTAGTATATTCAGACGGGTAAAGTTGATCTAAAATGTCTAACAGAAATAGTATCACAGTTTGCACTTTTCTACAGGCATACATCATATGGGCTATATTTTCATCTTGTGCTTATATTGTGGGCATAATTTGTCTTCACTTATATTTCTGTTAAACATATTTTCATTTGTTGGTATAATAAAGTTTGCTATTTTAAATGGAATATTGTTTGCTGTTTTGTTTGAAGTTCTTTTGTTTATTTTAAAGAACTGTTTTTATTTATCATTGCATAGCGTTTGCATGCTACTTATATTGCTTACTACCCATTTTTTAAATTTAAAGTCTAATGGGTTTTTGGGCTTATTTATGAGTTTATACATAATTTGAACTGTAGTATTTTTATAATCATATTTTTTATTACGTTTGGCTAAATAATAGGGAGCTTTTTTAACGTAATATTTTTGTTCTTCTTGCCTAATTTTGTTTTGCCAATGGATAGGCAGAACAGCAATTGTTCTTTCAAGCTCATTTTCTGTCAACCTTATCGAGTTTTATAATGCAGAAAATCAGGCTGGAAGGTTTTTGCTACGGCCGCTACAAGCACAATGTCGTTTTTGATATGTTCCTTTTTAGGGGTAAGAAGTCTAGAGTGTTTTCCATTTTCAGGAAATATTCACTCCAGTGCATACAGTAAGAAAATGTGTTCAAGCTTGAATAGGAAATACTTAGAATTTTGAAGGAGGTTTTATTCCATTCAAAGTTTAGATATGACTTTTTATCTTTAAATCTATTTTAACCTAGCCATATGTCTTGACATTTGACAAGTTTAATTTAGCATCTGTTGCTTTTTTATTAAGTTTTCGGGCTTGGCCGACTTTTTTTATAGATTCATCTCCTGTTTAGTATCATCAGCGTATTGCTGAATTTTGGCTTCCTTTCCTCCCGTTATAACTCCCTTAATTTCCTTATTTTGTCTAGTGTAAGTTGAAAATATTTCAGCTTGGAAGATGTATAGTACCATTGATAAAGCGCAACCCTGTCGTACTTCTCTCAAAATATTTATATTTCAGACAAAAACCCATAAATTTTAACTTTAGCGCTTATGTTATTATAACTTATCCTAATATGTGAAATTCCAAAACCAAAATGTTCAAGACTTTTAATTAAAAAGGTTCTATTTACTCTGTCAAAAGCTTTCACCTGACTTATAGAAAGTATACACAAATCCAGTTTATCAGTGTTAGAAATTCTGACGTCACTTGTACAGCATAGATTGTTATTTATAGTTCTATTTTTAATTGAATCCGTTTGGTCGCTATTTATTTTTCTTGGTAAAATCTTTTCCAATCTGTTTGCTAAAGTTTTTGTAAGAATTTTGTAATCTACATTTGTAAGAGATATGGGTTTCCAGTTGGTGATTTCTTTTTTGTTACCTTTTTTGTATATACAAGTTATCACGGTTTGTTTTTGCGAGGTCGTCATTTCCACAGTATTTAATACATTATTTAGTGTTTCTTTAAGATCATTTTTTATTAAATCGTAGAAATGTTTATACGATTCTATAGTAAGACCGTTAGAACCCGAAGACCGTCAGAACCCGAAGTTTCTCCGCTTTTTGTGTTAATTTCTGGGATATATTGTTTTGAGAGCTTTTTCCTTTTATAAACCAAAAAAATAATTCGTACATTCCCCCCCCCCCCCTCCATTCTCCACTGAACTCACGTCCTTTTTGAACTCTTTGCCGCACCTTTGTCTTTAACAATTTCAATTTGCTCCAGTTTTAATTTTATATCTTTCTAAAGAAACTTTCATATTTTTGTTAAGGTGCTTGTTTTAGATGTGTTCTTCAAGGATTTTTTTAGTTTATATTCTTTTTTATTTCTTTGTTGATTCTTCTTTTTACTAAAGTTTTGAGTAATCTTTTTTATGTTTTCTTTTTCTGTTTCCCACCACTCTTTAATGTTTGTAAAATTGCTTTTTTGTTGTCTTCACTCTTCCCAGTTCGTTACTACTAGAGTTTTATACTCGTCATTTTTAAGGAGTGTGTTGTTTAGAATCCACGTTCCTTTTCCAAAAGTAATTTCATCATTATTTATTTGTATAATTTGAGCATTATAGTGGTCAGTTATAATAGTCGGTTCGAAATAGGTTTTTATATTTTGTCTTCATTTTTTGCTTACGTAGAAACGATCTAGTCTAGAGTGAGAAACACCATTTGCTGACGCAAACGTGTACTTCTGTTTTTCCGGGTTAAAGACTCTCCATGTTTCTTTAACTGCCAGAAGATTCAAAAGAGTCTTTAAATTTTTATTTGTAGGATATTCTCTGTTAATGGGTATTGCCTATCCTTTATTAATAACGTTCCATTAAAATCACATCCCATTACACAGTCGACTTTCGATATCTCGAATACTTGATATCTCGAACTTTTGAGTATCTCGAATTTTTTTAGCGGTCCCATGGACCTAACGTACTAGTTTAGGCTAAAATCCTCTCGATATCTCGAACCTTAATATCTCGAACTTTTTGGTATCTTGAACAATATTTTTGGTCCACAGGGCAATTTTCTCTCGTTATCTCGAACTTTTCAACATTTTTTTTTTCTAAAATTTTTTAATAAAATTTAATTTTTTTTAAATTCCAATTTTCGAAAATAAAAAATTTTTTAATTCGATTTTTAAATTCGATTTTTTTAAGAATCGATTTTCTGAAAAGTTTTCCTTTAATATATTAATTTATTCTTTTTGTCAAACGCTACAACATGCCGCTCGTTAAACGAAAACTCACGAACAAATCTATAATAGAAAAATACAAGGCATTAAAAGACCTAGAGACAGGAATGTCTCACAAAGAGGTTGCCAAAAAGTATGGAGTCCCAAAGAACACATTATCAACCTGGATTAAAAATAAAACCAAGTTATTAACCTCATTGGAAAAAAATGGCACAAAATCTAAACGGAAGAAACTTCGTGTAATTTCAAGTGGTAATTTCAAAAATGTAGACAAGGCCATATACACGTGGTTCGTTGCAAAAAGAAGTCAAAAAGTACCAATTGATGATACCATACTAAAAGAAAAGGCACTAAAATTCGCAGAAGCATTAGGAGAGTTGGATTTTAAAGCATCTGATTTAAATAATCTCAGGCGAAAGTGCCGCCGTGACGAATAATATGACTGCTTCGTGGAACGAAACTACACTTCCAACATTGCTTTTGAATTACAAACTTGAAAACATTTTCAATCCCGATGAGTTTGGACTATTTTACCAGTGCCTACCAAACAAAACATACCATTTATCACGAGAAAAATGTTTTGGGGGAAAAAATAGTCAGACTAACAGGCATAGTAGCAAGGAGTGCAACGGGAGAAAAATTACCTATGTTTGTTATTGGAAAATCTAAAAACCCACGGTGTTTTAAGCACATTAAACAACTTTCTTGCACATATAAAAATTAGCTAAACAGTTGGATGACCGGAGACCTTTTTACAGAATGGGTAATGAAACTTGACTCATTTTTTCGTGCTCAAGACAGGAAAGTAGCACTCCTGGTGGATAACTGTTCTGCCCACCCACACATTGAAGGGCTAAGCAACATCAACCCAATACTTTTCCCCCCTAACATCACATCTGTCCTTCAGCCCATGGATCAAGGCGTAATACGAAGTCTTAAAGCTCATTATCGTCAAGGCTGTCGATAATAACGAACCCATGCCAAAAATTTCTATACTTCAAGCAATGAAAGATCTTGTTTCTTTTTGGAATGCTGTGTCGAAGGAGACTGTCATCAACTGCTTCAAAAAAGCTGGTATCAGCAAAACAAACAAGAGTATTGAAGAAGCTGATGATGATCATCCTTTTAAATTTTTGACAGAAGAACTTAACCGTTTGCGATAGTTAGATCCTCGTGCCGTCCAAGAAGATCTCTCAGCGGAATCTTACATTGGTTTAGATTGCGATGTTGTAACCACCGGTTCACTTGCTACTGATGCTGAAATCATGGCTCAGATTTTAGACCCTAATTTTGAAAACGACGATAATGAAGTTGAAGATAGCGTTGACGAAGCTACTGACGTCGAAGCCCCGCCACGCTCATCTGATATTCAATTAGAAATTGCTTTTGAAACGATTCAAAATGCTTCGCTATACAGCTCAAAATACGGAAATGAAATACAATCCCTAGCACTAAAACTTGAGGATTTAATGAAGATGGAAAAGATATAATTTAAAGCAATATCAGATAACAGATTTTTTCTAAAAGTTGTAGTTTTTGTAGTTAATGATTTTTGTCAGAAAACTAACTTGTTTTAATGAAAGTCAGGCAATTTTATTTATTTTCAACCCTTTTCTTGATATCTCGAACTCTCGATATGTCGAACTTTTTTTCTGGTCCCCTTAGTGTTCGAGATATCGAGAGTCGACTGTATATACATAATAAATTCTTCTAAATTTATTTTGCGGAAAATATTTGTAAATTAGTATACATGTTTTTTCTGAATTGGTTTAGGCTTCTGCCAGAAGGCACATATATATATATATATATATATATATATATATATATATATATATATATATATATATATATATATATATATATATATATATATATATATATATATATATATATATATATATATATATATATATATATATATATATATATATATATATATATATATATATAATGAGACATTTTGCAACATTAATTTGTAAAGCCACATAATTAAAATTACCGCCAAGATCATTTCCAGAGAAAATCGCCTGTTCATGACGTGTTTTGCATAATATTGCGGTTCCACGCGTTTTAGAAATGCCAGGTGAGAAAAAAATATCTCCATTCCACTCATTTTTTATCATACCTATAAAATTATTATCCAAATGAGTTTCCTGTATGAGAAAAAAGTCATGGTAATTTTTTAAATGAGTTAATAATTGTTTTCCTCCTGGTCGCATTTTTCAAACCATTGATGTTTGATGTAAAAAAATTTATTTGCTCCATTTTATTTTTTGATTTAAATTTCAATATAACTAATCTTTAATTTTAAAGTATATATGTGTTTTCATGTATCTACTTTCTTAGATCAGGCGAAAAACTTTTTATCTAAGTAAAAAGTAAAGTAAAGTAAAAAAAAATAGTAAAAACACATACCAACAGCCATTTTCATTAAATAAAATGCGTTTTTGAGTTTCCCTAAATCTTTGTTTCAAAAATATTATCTAATCTGGCAAAAAAACTACCTCACATTAGTAAAACAGTTTTCTTCATTTTTCTTATGTCCAAAAGAGTGCCTGCTATGTTTCTGAGAAGTTGTGCATAATAATGTATATTTTGATAAAAATATTATATTTACATCATATTTTTAAAGACCTTTTTTTGAGAATAAAGCAATATTTGATTTTAGTGTTAAAGATATGTGTTATCAGCGTTATTTCATCAAGTAAAAACCATTTTTGATATCAACATAACCTAATAAGCAAGCTTTGAAACTGAATTCTTTCTAAAAACTGTCCACTGGGGCAGAACCGCATAGACGCACAGGAGGCACAACCGCATACTTTTATTATTTATCAAAGTTATGTAATTACAAATAACAACAACTACAATTGTCACATTTGAATGCGTTCATGTATAAACTTGAATAGTTTTGCTTTGAGATGATAGAAAAGTTGTTTAAGATGTTAGAAAAGTTTTGTTTTGAGAAAAAGATGTTAGAAAAGTTTTTTTGTTAGAAAAGTTTTGTCCAAAAAGTTTTGAAAGAAAAGTTTTGTTAAAAAAGTTTTGTTTTTTGTTAGAAAAGATGTTAGAAAAGTTTTGTTTTGAAAAAAAATTGTTAGAAAAGTTTTGTTATTTGTTAGAAAAGTTTTGTTAAAAAAACTTAGTTAGAAAAGTTTGTTTTTTATTAGAAAAGTTCTGTTTTTTGTTAGAAAAGATGTTAGAAAAGTTTTGTTTTGAAATGTAAGAAATTAGATTTCGTATTTTTTTATTTAAATTTTATAAATGAGTTTTTGAATTAAAATAAAGCTAAGAGTATATCGAATAAGAAAACTGAGATTTTAAGTACAAAGAATGCCTACACAGTATACAAACGTGCAACAAAATCAGCAAATAATCTGAGCTATGACAATTGTACCTAGAACAGTGAAAATGTACCTAGAACAGTGAACCCCCAACGATTTTTGTGAGGGTGCGGTTGTGCCTCACAATGGGGGCAAATTGAAACAATGCGGCTATTGAAATAAACTGCTAAAAAAACACATTTCGTTTTTATTTTCATATAACATTTATTCAAACGTTATGGGGGCGGTTATGCCCCCACTTCCCCTACATATCTCAAATAAGAATGCTTTGCAAAAAATTGCGATGATTGGAGCCAAATATTTTTTTACATATGTATAAACATCTAAACGTTTGGAGTTTGCTCTATGTCTTGAAGTTAGATATTTTGAAGACCAAAAAATGCTTCTGCCGTACCTGCTTTGTTTGACTTCTTCGGAAAGACTTATGTCAATTTGATCATCGTCTAAAATGAAGAATTTATTAACATTTTTTTAAAGGTAAATAGAGTTTTACACCTCGCCACGTGATTCGGACAATATCGTTTTTATTCTTTTTATTCTAGTAGGCCAAAAAAAACATACACCCCCTCCCCCCATAGAAGACCTCTTCGGGACGACCCTGATCAAAATAGAACATTAGTACGTGTAATTTAAAAAAGTGAAGATTTTTGAACATAGTTTTTATAATTATCAAATTTATTTGAAATTTGGCACAACTATTTATTGCATTAGTATTTACAACATACACTAGAATAATCATTACTGCTTCTCTCGTTTAGTATTTTTTAAAGATTTTGAACCCTTAAATTACCCCATTTTTGCCCAAAATTACAAAGTTACCCAATTTAAATCTTTTATTCCACGACACAATGACACATACATCACCACCCATATTTCAATCATAAATTATAAATGGTTGCTGAAAAATCTTCGTCACCCTTTATTCCATTTTTTGACCTATATTGATTAATAAATAATAATCAAAAAAAGTAATTTCAAATTTTTTTAGCTTTTAATATTATATTATACAATTTGAGAAAAAAAAAACATTTGTAAAAGTTGAATACAAATTTTTTTTTCTAATTACTGTACTACCACCAAAAGATTTTAGTCAGTTAAATTCTAAACACCCGGTGGGAAGCGAGCTAGGGATTAGCTAGCGACTAGCTAGCTTTATAGCGATTTTTTTTTTCTTATTTAATTTTTTCCTTAAAAGGAAAAAATTAAATAAGAAAAAAAAAATCGCTCAAAAATCGCTATAAAGCTAGCTAGTCGCTAACAAATGCGATATGTAGCTAGTGTCATATCGTAATAAAATCGCTGACTTAAAAACTGCGATATATAGCTAGCGATATATCGTTACAATATCGCAATGTTTAAAGTTCAATTATTTTCATAATAATTGAACTTTGATACTAGTATTATATATTTATTATGAAAATAATTGAACTTTAAACATTGCGATATTGTAACGATATATCGCTAGCTATATATCGCAGTTTTTTAGTCAGCGATTTTATTACGATATGACACTAGCTACATATCGCATTTGTTTAGCTGGCAACTAGATAGCGATATATCTATAGCTATTCGATAACTACATATCGCAGCTTCTTAGCTATCGATTTAATTACGATTAATCGCTAGTTACGTATCGTAGCTTTGTAGCTAGTTACAAGATAGCCACAAATCGATAGCTAGTTGATAGCTACATATCGCATTTTTTTAGACAGCGATTTTATTACGATTTATCGCTAGTTACATATCGCAGCTTTGTAGCTAGCTACAAGTTTGCCAAAAATCGATAGCGAGTTGATAGCTATATAACGCAGTTTTATAGACAGCGATTTTATTACGATATGACGCTAGCTACATATCGCATTTGTTTAGCTGGCAACTAGACAGCGATGTATCTATAGCTATTCGATAGAGACATATTACAGCTTCTTAGCTATCGATTTAATTACGATTTATCGCAAGTTACGTATCGTAGCTTTGAAACTAGTTACAAGATAGCCACAAATCGATAGCTAGTTGATAGCCACATATCGCAGTTTTTAGATAGCGATTTTATTACGATTTATCACTAGTTACATATTGTAGCTTTGTAGCTA